CCAGCACACCGACTTCCGCGACGTGCATTGTTTGCGCGTTGTGGGTGCGGTTGGAAGAGGAGGAGAGGAGGCCAAGCGATGACTTGGTCGGGAGAAATGAAAACCCTCACTTCGAAGTTGGCGTCAGTTGGTGCATCCCGACTGCCTGGCTGAGGTCCTAACGACGGTGAACACGTTTGTTGGACACACTTGCTGATATGGCTCGGAGCCGGCCCCAATGGCGTTTGTGTTGTGAGTTCCTTTGTCCATCCCCCTCCAATCACGATCTCACTCGTTAGGTATTATATAACCCTCTTTTTACGGCACGATAGCCAGCTGTTAGCTCTCCGGAACGATGTCCATCCGTTACTGGGGACTCAACCGGCGTGCCACTTTACTTGTCTTTTGTATTGCGGTACAATAGCTGAAGTGTTTTCCACATGCCGCTAACGTGTATAATGATAATGATGATGAGTGACGTTCGTTTTTCAGGGACCTTGTGTGTGGCATTTCGATCGCATAGGACGCACTTCCAAACATCTAACTCTCTCACATGACATATCTACACATTCCAGCTGTCAATCTGCCACCGGGCATTGCACCGCTGTTCGAACCACACAGGCCCCACGGTCAAAAACACCCCTGAGGCATTCAGTCTTGACTTGTTTTTCATGATTTGCATGAGCGAGTGAACGACGCGCGACTTGTTTACCTGGAATAGCAGACACAAGCGTGCAGCACAATATGTGAAACACAACAGCAGTTGATCTTTTGGTGTGTCCACAATGCTATCTTGAAAACTGATACCAATGAGGATAGGTCCCCGTCTGATTGATATTGTGACGGTTGGCTTTCATGCAGTTCGTTGTTCATCTGTCCCTTCATCTGGTATGTACAGCTTATCCCCCCCCTATCGATGCTGTTCAATCCAGCTGCTCAAACCCCAGTTCCTCTACTGAACTGAACTAAATTCACTTGATTGATGTAATCACTTCTCTCTTCGGATCGACGTCAGGAACGTTCGCTCGTCTCGATTGCAAATTACTTACACATTTTTCTTGCTCTAGTAACCGACATATCTGCACGTTTTGTCATCCTCATCGAAAAGACCGTCTACTAATAGTTTAAGTCGGCAGCATGAGCTCCGGCTTCTACCTGACTTAGTTCGGCGTGCTTATCTGTTTCTGAGAGGTCAACAGATTTCTTCTAGCAACTACTCGGTCTCGGTGCCGCGTGGTGACACACAGCGGTCGGCGTAAAAGTCGCGGCGCGTCTACTGGAGACCGGGAGAGATGTGACTCACACTCGGAATATGCCGTGATGTCTCCCTTTAGAGTCCGCGTCTCCACATTTCCATATCTTTCGAGCCCACCAAACTTCTCGGTTGGGTCGTAAATCCTCCATCGCCTTAAGCCTATGTGGTTTGTCTCGACTTTTGTATATGCTGCTTCAGCTAGACTGCGAATCTCCCCCTAGCCACTCTAAATTACTGCGACGAGATTTAGGGCCGTCATCTTTTTCGGTGGCTTCTATTCTGGAACCGCTATAGTCAGCGTGAAGATACGTATCTGCCACTCTGCAGACATTCTCATATACTGATCTGATCGTCGTCTACTACCGCCCGATGTGCAAAATGTACTGGCTTACAATCTAGTTAAGCTGCACACATCGAAAGCCTTCAGCTGGACTTCATTGCGATGTTTGGCGATAGGATGCAGGTAACGGTCTGATATGACTGTCAGCTGGAGTCTCTGTGCATCCACCTCCGTTTGATCGCACTGCTCGTGCCTCCGTCGTCTCTGCTTATGGCGTTAACTGTAGGAATGTTAGTTTTCGCACTTTGAACACTTTTTCAAAGGTTTCTGGAAAACTAAAAATACATGCATCATCGGTCTCCATCTTTTCTGTCCTTATATCATCATCATTATCATCATTATACAGGTTAGTTAGAGGTGAGAAACACCTCAGCTACTGTGTCGCAATACCTAAAAGAGAAAAGGGAACAAAATGCAACAGGTGCAAGCCAGTTGAGCTACTGATGGGTATCCTTCCGGTAAGCTACCTGTCGGCTACTATGCAGCAAAAAAAGTAATTTCCTATGCAAAATTACATAAGGTTAAATAATGAGATCGTGATTGGAGGAGGAGGCTAAGAGGGATGAGGTGGGACAAAGAAACTCACAGCACGAACGCCACTGTGGTCGGCTCCTAGCCATATCAACAAGTGTATCCAGCCAAACGTGTTCATCGTCTTTCGGACCCCAACCAGGGAGCCGAGACGCTCCAACCGAGGCCAGCTCAGAAGTGAGGGCCTTCATTCCTCTGGACCAAGTCATCGCTTGGCCACCCCTCCTCTTCTTCCATTCACACCTCCGGCGCGCAAACAACGCACGTCTCGGGGGTCGGTGGGCTGGTATGCGTAACATGTGGCCGAGCCTGGTTTTAGCAGATGCAACTCTTTTTGGGATCGCAGTAATATGGATCTTTTGTTTTGTCTTCACTTTGTATCGTTGTTCAATGAGAGCGATGGAATCTTACTGGGACGTCAACATTTGAATAAATACTTGGATGGGTGGATTTGTTTGCCAAGGGGCTCCCCATGTCGGTTTTCTTTTCCTTCACCCTATCCTTCCGCTTTGATCCCCACTATGTCCTACACAGCCCACCCAGCTTGACCTGATGCCTTCAAACCCTACTTAGCCTCCCGGTGAGTTTCTTCATCCTCCTTCGTGATGCGATGGATTGGCGACCTCGGGATTTTTCACCCAACTAAGTCTCTTGTTGCCAGGCCTTACACACCGAGACAGCACATCATCAGATATGCGATACACTTAACATACCCAAAGTCAGTCAATCTAAGTCACGCGAGGGTGACGGCAGACTGTCCATTCCCACACAATAAATGGTGAACTCCGGCATTACTCATTTAGTGCTCTCACCGGTGTTGTTGGTGGTGGAGAACGTTTGCTCCTTTCTAACTCAGAGTGAAAATTGGATTATCTAGCCATACTGGTTATCAACCTGCGCTCTACTTTTGGACGATCTATCCTCATGTAGGAGAGAATTGGAAAATTTTTCCCCCACAAGCTTACCAAATGCACTTTTACAGTTTAGCAGCAGAATCCGTTCAGCACCATGGAACTTACTCGATGTTTGTAGAGTGTGGTACACTCTGTTGGCAAATTGACAGCTTCATCTAACTGAATGCCATTGAGAATTTGAGGCTTTAGCAGTTTCCATATGTTTCCTGCAGTGCGAAGGCTTTTAACTCGGAGTGGTATTATTGGAGCTCGTTTTAAGGTACGATGTCGGGCATTAGACATTTACCGAACCTATTCGTTATTTGTAGCATCAAGGAGGCGATCCCCCCCAATGCGGTGAGTAGCGATGTATACTCCACGCCACCAAGCTTATTTTACTTTGGTTTCCTGATTGTACTGCAAACACCCGCGTACTCAGAAAAATCTATATTAGTCTGAAGTAATGAACGTAGGCCTAGAAGGTGTGTTCACTTAGCATTAAGTTTGTCCACGCCCACTATATATATCAGTCCGATTGCAGGAATGTTTACTATAATACTGTTTCAAATCGCTCCGTTGATGATGACATTTGCGACTCTCCAAATTTTTCAAGCTTCGCCCCGATCGCGTACAAACTCGGCTTAGTGAAAACTCTCTTCTACCGGGCTAGACATATTTGCAGCCCCGAAATGTTAAAAGCCGAAAAAGTAATTCTACGTAAGACCTTTATTTCTAGTACAAATCCTGAAAAGTTTATTCAAGTACACAGTAGACCTCCCAGCGGGAAAACACCGGTGTTTACGGCTGAGAAACAGAATTTTTATTTGTTCTTGCCGTTCAAGGGGGACCATGTGACAAATGATATCGGACGAAAGCTCCGGTTCGCCCTAACGCGCACCTACACGACAGCCCAGTTGCGACTCAGGCATACCACGCGAGCACTTGTTCTTCATAACTGTCAGAGCATCTCGTCGGGTAGTTCGGCCTCTCACGTTATTTACCAGTTCACCTGCGGTTGCGGTGACATTTACATAGGCAGGACGAACCGTCAATTCGCTCAAAGGGTAGCTGCACATTTGCCAAATTGGTTGGGGCAAGTGATTACGCAACAAAATGGGACGGATCTGAGGATTAATCGGAGCCCGGCATCGTCTGTCACCAAACACCTCATGGCAACCCGTCATCAGGTGAACCCTGAGATAGCGTTCAAAGTGTTTGTACGTAACAAAAACCCGATAATGCTGGCAATTAGTGAAGCGTTGTTAATTATGTTCCATCAACCTGCGCTATGTGCACAGAAACTCTTGAGGCGATCAGTTCGGTTTCAATGGTTTTGACTGTGACATTTTGGTTGGTGTTGCTTTTTTTCATGTATATAATCCTTTGTGTGTTGGGTTTGCGACTGAAGAGAACACTCGAAATGTTGACATATCGCAACATCTGTCTTCTCTCTGCCTTGACGAAATGACTGAAGGGGACCCAAAGTTTTACTCTCCAAATTCGCATCAATGTACAGATCACTTTTTTTCTTTGAATATGTCTAAGCAGCAATGAGGAAAATATGTTGTTCACCGGCAAGTCGCTTGTTTCAACGAAACGGTACATGGCTTAGGGTGGAAAATCACGTAACCCGTGGGATGTACTCGTTGAACTGATCTAACAAGTGTTAGTGAGGACCTGGCATATAACAGTATATGCGACAGAGTAGCTGAGGTGTTTTCCACTTCTAGCTAACGTGTCTAATGAATGCTGATGAGGCTGATGGCATGTAGCAACGCTCCCTTTACTATTAAACTGCTTGCAGTACGAAACCACAGCGAATGCCAAATCAGGCACAGTGCTACTAGCAGAGACTCTGCATTACATTAGGCCTCCTTTTCGTATTGTATCAACCTTGTGGTCACCTTTTTCAACCCCTGTCACCTTCTTTTCAAGTGTTCCGTGTACAATTATTTCCCTTCATTGGGTTCGTTTTCATCCTGGTTTCTCGCGTCGTTTCTAGATTCCATCCCAGAAAGTGTGCCTCAGGTTTTGATCAATCGGGAGCCTCTTTCCAATCATGATTTTGATGTGGAACTGCTCGGCGACTGCGATGTGATTGTTACCGAGCTGTGCGCCCGTCTCGGTTGGGAGTTATCTCCGGAGTCTGCCTCCAAACGCCTGACGTTGATTCCATTACATGATATCATGGGTGAACGGTCCAGAGGAGATGCGGATCAAAAGGCGCTTGCGTCGTCACAGAACGAGCCGTCGCTCCACACCGCCAACGGTCCGGTCGATGTCAGTGAAGAGGCGAAGAAAGACGCGTCATCCACCGAACCCGAGGCGTTCATTGAGACGTCGGCAGAAGCTACCACACTCAACACAGCGCAGCGACCAAAGACGGATGTTATTGAAGTGGATGATTCGGACGAGGAGAGCCACTCGGACGATCTATGGGATGTGGCAGCGTTTCTCCCTCGTACGTCGCTCCTTATTCTACTAATCTGCCAAACTTATATCCTGCGTCATCGCTGCTCTCATAGTCACTACGCGCTTGTGTATGCTCATTTTGTCCTATCAGTCCCCCATTAGGATTTCATCGACCTCTAGTATTACTACTATAATTACAACTTGATACAGATCATCGTGTGCAGTGTAATCGTACCGCTGTAGGTCGGTCGCATAGGTGGATGAATATGTTTTTCTATACAGGGCCGTGATTTCATGACAATCTACGAGGTGCAATCTCGATATCGGAAACACAGAACAGCGTGTCTCCTTCTTCAGCCACTTCGTCAAAGCAACGTGAAGACATTGGTTGTGATATGCCAACATTTCGCTTGTTCCCACCAATGCCAAACACCAATACGTTTGGAACACATGATTACAGGTCATGGGAATCGAAGGCGGTTGATCGGCCTGCATGGCGCGATCTGATCACGAAGGCCGTGGTCGAGGTGCATGTGAAATCCCTCATGCATGCAGAGAAGAAGCGGCAATTGCGGAAGCGACAGGCAGCGACGGGTTCTACTCCATCGACATCGAGCGCATGGTGCTGTAGCACATGCGATCGCGAGGGCCTAAGTCAGACAGGCCTAGTGCGATGTCACTCGGGGCCAACACCGAAACGACGTCCGGTCCTGCAGATAAGGTGGATAGAATCGGCGCAGCGTTTGTAGGTACACTGCTTTCGATTTACTAACCACGTGCTTGCATGCTGGGTGGTGGGTTTGCTATATTGTCTTAATGCTTTTTCATCCGGTAAATGTCTACCTGAACTATCTGCTAAAAACATGCACACGTCCCTTAAACTATTTTGGTTAACTTCGATAACATTTTCGCATTTGTGGCGCTTTCTTAAAATATATTTTCTGACGACTTACAATTATCGCGGACTTTTTGCAACCAATTTATTTCATATGCTCATTTATTGAAGAGTTATCTCACCGTGTATGTATCATTCAATTTACTTTATTTGATATCATCGTTTCAAGTGATTGGCTGTTGTTTGATATCCCCGGTGTGGCTGCGCTTGGTGTGCATGTTGACAAGGTGCCTACCTGTCTATTACCCACTACCCAGGCTCCAGGAGACAGTTGGTCGTTGCTGGAGGGGACGGGGTGCACGGTCCTTGTGGCCGTGCTAGGCTCGAAGAGTGGTTCCATGCACTCAGTGTGGAGCGGACTACGGTCCAGCCACCGCCTTGTGTGCGCTTGATTCCCCAAATACAGTGTGCTTGTGTTTGTCTGTGAAGGATTGTGGGCCGGCTCCGTTGATGAAACGTGGCTCCCATCCACATGCCTCCCGGTCTTATTCCTTCGGATTTAGACTGGATATGGGGTGTGTGGGTGGTGCAGCGCAAGCCACCATGGTCCCTCTGTAGGCGCAGGCGTCCTGTGGCTGTCCACAGTGACAGACAAATCCGAAACCGGATGCCGCCAACCATATATATATATATATATATATATATATATATATATAAAACTGTATAACTGTATAAAACTGTACTTCGCATGCTGAATATCTTGTAGGTCGTTACGAAGAATTTGTTTGTAAATTTCTTTTTCAGTGAAAAAAGTTCGTTATCAAAGCAGTTCTTTTTTGTGTGCTTGCTATAAATATATGCCGCCAACACAGGTCATAATATTAGTTTCCTATGTTATGTATAGCACGTCCCATCTTGTTACATCGGGTAACTTCGGTTTATACAAAGGGATAACCGAATTCCATTTAGCGTTTGAATACCCTACCCAGTGTGGTTGGACGCCGTCGAGGATGAGGTCAGCAAGCCTTCCTCAATTGATTCAAGGATGTAATTCACCAACCTTGGACGATAAAAGGTCTTCAAATTTTTATGCTGCCCATGTCCATTGCCTGTATCAAAGATGTGGTATTAGGAGGCAGAAATTCCATCTGGATATTCTTCAAGAAATCCAAATTTGAATGTGCTGCACAATTGTCGATAAGTAATAACACTTTTCTCGACTGGCGTTGTAGCTCTGTGTTCCAATCCTTCACCCATTCTTTAAAAAGCGTAGAGCTCATCCATGCATTTCTGTTCACACAATACACAACTGGTAAACTGTCCATTCTGAGTCCCTTAAAGCAGCGAGGCTTGGCACATTTTCCTATAACCAGCAACTTCCTCTTGTCTGTTCCGGACATGTTTGAGCAGCACAAGACAGTTACGCGATCCATTGCTTTTTTTCAGCCAGAGAGAGTAACATGTTTGTAACTTAAGGAGCCGTCCGGTGTAGCCCTATAGTACAACCCGGTTTCATCAGCATTATAGATGTCATCTGCTGGCAATTTTTCAAGAAGCTCTGGTAGTTTTGTTGATTTCCACTCTTCAGCTCGAGCGCTATTGCACTTTCTTTTTCACCATGTTCTTTCTTAAAGTTTACATCATGTCTAGATTTCCATCGAGACAACCAGCCGTCCGTAGCCATAAAATCTTCGTGGCCCAGCATTTTAGCGAGTTCTTCCGCTTTGTACTTTAACATTGGGCAACTTACTCGCACGTTTCGTCCAGTAACAAAGGCAAACCAATCATTAAGGGCCTCATCGACGTCTGGATCCTTGCCTTCACGCTTCCGTTTTTGGGAAATACCTCGTCATCCTTCATATTGTGCTCATTCTTCTCGTAGATCTTTCTCTTGTTTTATCAGGCGCGATATTGTAGATTTTGCCAAGCAGGGAATTTCCACCAATCGACGGTGACTAGTGGATGGTCCCTGTTTCTTGATCTGATCTAGGAAACGAATATTCTCAGCTAACGTCAAGTCCCGTCGTGGCATTTTCTTAACATGCAACAAGACACGCACATTTCACTGAGGTGAACTCGAGTCTGTCTCCCGGGTATTTCTATGGTTGACCTAGCCACCTGCTGTCCTATGATTTGCCAGACCTATGTGTCGGCGATCACTTGCCGTGCTCGAGCGTAGGCCCACAATGCGGGCTCAGGGCTTTCGGCTCAATGCACGTGCTGTACATCGATCGAGCGGTTAACGACATATGAACAAGCATGTATGTCTTCGCTCCGCCTACAAGTTTTGAAAACTACAGTCAGTTTCGCGTGGTTTTGAAGCCAATTAGATAGATGTGCCTCATAGTAGCCACAGTTCAGTTTATCCAAAGGCCAACTCGGATTACCGTAACTGAATGATACGCTTTCTTGCCCGACATATGAACTGTGGGTTTAGTCCAGACATCCAGGCACAGAACTTGATTTTAACACATCTTTTACCTGCCACCTTCTATCGTCTGGTCCGATTAAGCGGAATTCCGGTCCTAATAAGCGGCTAAAATTAGGCTAACATAATAGGATTCGTTTCGGTTCTTCAGAATTTGGCTGGAATAAGCGGCTGGTCCTATTAACCGGTGGTCCTATTAACCGGAATCGACTGTATATATATATATATATATATATATATATATATATATATATATATATATATATATAAACTATTTGTATTGCGTTTGAGACCGATGAGAACAATCGAAATGTTGACATGTTGCGGCCGATGTTTTCTCTGCCTTGACGATGCTGGAAATGCAGGTGCTTCGCCTATGTTCTTCATGTTCAACCCGCCTTCGTGACCGGAGACTCATGGTGAGTTGATACTTAAATGCGTTCACCCGTCGACCCTAATCGCATCTCAGTAATCATGGGTTATTTTGTCGACAGCAAGTTTCGGTTTGTTGTGATTGCACTTTTCTTTTTATTTTGTGCTGGAATTTTAAATAAGAATACCAGAAGGCGAAGGTTGTGGGATGACAAGCATTTCGTGCATACTCTTCGATCACGTACGTACAAATAACAAAGGAACCATAATAAGGTAACATGAAATCGATTGTTGCTCAGCTGTTTTCCAAATGATGCTTTACTCACTACCGCGGTTGGCTTAGTGTCAGTGCCAGCTGTTTTTGCACACAATGTGCTTGGCTGTGTCCGATGGATTCTAATCATCTCGTGTAAATTGGGGATGTTAGGCTTTTGACTGAGCATGAAAACAGTGAATAATGTGTCAGGGTTTACCTGGTGACCAGTGTTCATCTCAAATACCTCGTAATTGCGAGGGCAACTTTGCTTTTCGATTCATCTGCACTAACCATCTCGGGTGTCACCCGGAATGTGTTCCCTGATTTGAACACCTGGATTTCGATCAGTGCGCCGAAGATAGCTGTCTTCACAACTGCATGGAAATTTGCATAAGCAATGGGCAACACCGGTGTCTTCGCTGAACGCCTAAGCAGTGTTTTAGTAAATATGAGCAAGCCTAGCTCTGCTGCATTGTATTCCTTTGTCATTGAGGCACTTATTCGTTTCGCGCTAACCTATGAAGTAAATAAATGACGAATAATAAATAATGTATCAGCTGTACGCCGTAACGGCACTTCGCTGCCGCGCGACCACCACCAGTCGCACGCGGGCTGAGTGTACCGCGAGGACGCCCACCCCTACGCGGATTCGAACCGGTGACCTTATGGTTGCAAACCAAACGTGCAGACCACCACCCATGAAGTGAAAGACAACTCAGTGAAAACCGGTTTCCTTTGTACCGTTGTCTCTAGATCTCATTTCACTGTGCCACTGAAATGCTTTATGAATAAACCATTTATTTATTTATTTAGATTGTAGCACCTCAAACATCACAGTTCTTTCTCTGCCTCCAGTGTGGCTGTGGTGCAAATCCAATGAGCTCGATGGAACAAGGTCCGAACTAAGGAGCGCTTTTTATGTATCGACGAAATCTCTTAAAATGAAAGTATTGATTCCTCCTCTAGGTCACTTTCTGGTAGACTGACCTTTGGGTGGCACAATCTGGCCGTTGTGTAAGCAGTATGTCTAAGTATGAGAGACAGTTGTCGTGCTCAGTTTGGCATGTCACAGTAAGATTTTAATGCATACTACTAAACGCTTTGGTTATAAGCTCAATGTCTTCATGCGAATACATGCCTAATACTACGTCATCAACC